GCGAAAGTAAACGGGACAACATACAGATTTCATGCTTGCATGGGTTCTGCAGGAGAGCTCATACGCACATGTGTACATACGTGATCTGGGGGGATCTAAATAAATAACGCTGGAGGATAACTGCAGACCAGCAGTGACAGTATTACCACCAGTTAGTTACGTTTCATTTGGCTGCAGTTCAGCTACAGTAATGCCTGCATTAGTGAACATGAACTTCCACTAGATGGAGCCACACTCACTCATTTGACACATTAAGAAAGCCATGCAGATATGGAGACAATAACAGACAGACCCTCCAGAAAGCTCCCTTCATCCTAAAGGAAAGGGCTTGTCTCATTACCTGTACACATAGACCAGTGTCATTATAGGAGCCACAGAATAACAGCAATCATTAATAATCAGTATATAACAACACAGGTGATCCATTATAAACAGGTTGTTAACAGGCTGTCCGGCACCTGTGTAATATTAAAAAAAAAAACAAAAAAAAGGTTTTAGATTTGTTTAGTGATGCTTTTATACATCATGTCTTTTCTTTTTTTCATTAAACATACAGACAAAAGAACAAAGACCAATTTTCTGACCGGGTTCCACTCCTGCAACATGGTTTTCAGAGAAATGCTCCACCTTCCTTCGCCCTTGCGCCCACCCTGCCAGCTGGGTTCCCAGCGTGAACAGACCGGACTAAAGAGGGCAGGTGAGTCTCGCGTCCATGTTTCAGACAGCAGCGGTCAGGCTTCCGATGTTACAGCTACTGTTATGGCACCCTGAGAAGCGGGAGACTCAGGATGTTGGGAGAGAGCCCTCCGTTACAGCGGATCAGAGAGCCGTTTGACAAACACAAATTGACTTCACTGTTACGTATCCTTCGGCTGATAATGCATAGATAGACCAGTGGTAGTCACGAGGTATTCACATGCCCGCCAAGATTCCCCTGCTATGGTCGCGCATATCTTTCCCGTGTGTCTTTTAAAAAAAGCGGTTACATTTAAATGATCAGAAGCATTCTTAGTCAGGGCCACAAAATGGTCAAACAACTCTACATTTGAACAGAAACCAATGCCAGTCCTTTTCCCCCCCGTGTTTTTCACATATATATCATCGTAGCTAATCAAATACATAACTCATATCGATCTGAAGCTCCACATCGAGCCGCGTCTGCGTCCCTCATTACCCGCCAAGCACCAGGAGTCCAACGGACGATGTTTTCGGGGCTAAATCTGGTCAACCAGTCCTTAGCCTTTAGACAGATGTCCCTTTATGTCAGAATTTATTAAAAGTTGAGTTTTCAGGCTGCTACAAAGGCTGGAATTCACATTTTTTCCGCTTTCAGTTTATTGGAGGTATAAAAGACATCTAAATGGCACACAGCCTGCAGGCTTAAGTTAGTTTGATTTCTGACCTCAACGTTGACCAAAATAACTGAATTTGGGTGTGAACTGCTGGTTCTCTGAGGAGTTTGTAGTGTGTTTCTTTACAACCATGCTTAGCTGTAAAAGGGCATCTTTTTCTCAACGTCTTTCCATCTTTTAACCAAAACTCAACTTTGGTAAAGTCGTCTTAAGCGTCTTCACTGGGTGGGTAATCCCATTCCTTCCTGTCTTTCTTCCTTAACCAAGTGTGCGTGTTAAAAATGAGTCGCTGTATATTCTTCTGCACTGTATATAATCTACATAAATGTATTTACATTATTTATATGGACTTTAAGTGTATTTCAGAATTGACTTGAATTCAAAGCCCTTTGGAGAACGATGAACAGTGCAGTTTGTTTTGATTGTGATGCATGGCCTCCGATCGCTTCAAATC